GCGTGTATGTATATTATGTGTGTGTGTGTGTGTGTGTGTGTGTGTGTGTGTGTGTGTGCACGCGCGCTTGCAGACGAGTGTGTAAGATAGAGGGCTGGGAGCGGCTGGGGGGTGGAGTGTGGGAGTGGACCTTAGAACGTTGAGCGGATTTACGTAGCAGAAGATACCCCATTGCAGCAAAGACGTCATTGAAGCATGTCGTAACTTCGGGCACACCCGAAAAAAAATATGCCCAGAAACCGTGGGTTTACACGATTCATTTTTCTTTTTTAAAAACGAATTTATTCATACGGTTGTTTCTGCGACTCCGAGATCGCTGCTAACCAACTGGAACTTATAAGCATGTGAAAGCAATCGGTCTTCTGACGTTTATTTGGTAAATTCTGAATGGTTCCTCTATAAAACGCTTGCAGTGAACTAAACAGATTAATTCAAATCATCGGTTATTTATTGACATAATGTGTAATGCCTGAAGAAAGGATTCTCGATAAGACGCTGGTGTTGAACTAAACAGATTAAAGTCATAGGTTATTTATTGACATACTGTGTAAAGCCTGAAAGGATTCTTGATGAGACGCTTGTGTTGATTAATTTTGTTTAGCCGTGAAGACGTGTGTTGTTGAGGAAATACACGTACTGCAAGTGCCTATCAAGTAATAGTGTGGAAGGGATTGTGAGCTGCAGTGAGAGGTAATTTTAGTCATACAATGGTTGCTTTGTTGTTGTTTATTGTATTGCATTCTTCGGCCGTCTGTCGATTTTTATTGATGATGACTGTGGATATAAAGTATAAGATCTAATTGTGTTGAAAGTACCGGAAAACGCATACTTAAACGCAGAAAAAAGCCCCAAATACACACACACACACACACACACACACACACAAAACAGCAAACAGAAAAAACAAACAAACAAGCAAACAAACAAACGATGACTGTGGGTGTAATTTAAGCTCGGCAATTTAAGTTGGGAGCAAAAAGGTCTGTACATTAAGGTATTATCTACAATAATATTATAAGAATACTATCTTTCCTCATTTTAGATAGTAAAAATCTGATTGCGATAGTGTCTGGGCAGGTAGTTCGTGTGTGTGTGCCCAGCATGGTGTGCTTTGCTCCTTCTTCCCCCATTAAACACAATATTATACCTCCCACCTCTCTCCTCCTTCCATTCTTGGTACGTGACTCTCTATCTAGTTAGCATCTATTCTTCTTCATCCAAAAAAAAAATAAATATGAAAATAAAGAGTCAACACTTGATCACCCCCAATGTGCAAACCAAAAGAGCAATATTGTTATTCTTCTTTGCTCAAATTGAATGGAAGGAAAACTTGAGGACTATTCCTGTGCCAAACATAATAATAATAATATTATCTTCCACATTCTCCCCTCCTTTCATTTTTGTTACCTTACTCTCTAGTAACACCTCTATTCTTCAGCACTTACATAAACTAATTATAATGCAACAGTCCTGAACTCATACTGATCGAAACAACAACAACAACAACAACAACAACAACAACAACAACAACAACAACAACAACAACAACAACAACAGCAACAGCAACAACAACAACACAAACAACGACAGAAAGAAAAAGAAACATAACCAAAAAAAAGAAGCAAAAGCGATTGTTAAAACCTTGCAATGTCTGGCCCTGAGGGAGTTTAGAATCGAATCTATTATTATCTCGTCATCTCTGTTCCACTACTTAACTATTCTTAACGGGGGGCTCTCGTAATCTACAGGTTGAGGTGTTTGCCTTTCATTCAATAGGTCCCAGGTTCTAATCTGGATAGCAACGGAATATTTTCTTCTCTAAAATGTTATCTTTCCACATCCTTTCCTGCTCTCTAGCGATGTTCTGTCGTTTGATTTCGTCTCCACTTTTTGCCCCCACCTCCACACCGTCTTTGCCCTCTCCTCTGGGCTCCCGACTCTTTCTGCAGCCTCTCTACTGATTCTCCTTAGCTCCTTCTGACTTCTGTCTTTCAGCCGCACCCCTGATCTTATGGTAGGTAAGATCTACACCTAACCTTCTCGGATAAGGGTGAAAAATCTCGGAGGTCCCGTGTGCGAGTTGCACACATTAAATATCCCTTGGTGGTCCAAAATCGATCAGAGTAGGCTTCGGCTGCCATCCGAGCAAAATTCTAAAATTCCCTCCAACTGAAAATGATTAATGTGTCCCGCGCGCTCATATGACCTTGTGCAGTTGCGAGCTCCCGTAAAACACTTACAAAAAATAAATACAAAACCCACATCCTGAACCGCCGTACTACCGCCTTCCATTTTGAACGATCCATGGCACCCTTTTCTCCTATGAGGTGTTGTCATTGTTGTAGAGTTCTTTATGGGGTGTTGGAGGAAGTCTTTGCCGCGAGTTGTTTCCTTTTTTTAAATATCTTCTTTACAGGGCTCTGGTATGTTTTATTGTGGGCACAATAGAGACGAACTTCACTTCACGATTGGCAGTGCGCAGTCTGTGTGTATACGTGCATGTTGCTTCTTTTTGTACTGTATCCTGTTTTGCTGTACTGTTTGTACTTACTTTTACTTTTTTCTCCCCCTTGTACCGGCGTCTGTCTGCAGCAAGGCGAGTGGCCTGCCACAGATTCACTCCATCGTCGCCTTGGTCTTCCTCTGGCTCTTCTTCCAGAATATTTAATGTTGTATGTTCTCAGAGCTAGATGGTTTGAGGGCATCCGCGTAAGGTGTCCAAACCACTTGACCTTTTGTCTTTCAATGTGTGGTAGGACTGGTGTTGCTCCTACGGTGTCCGTACTGTTTGTTGTTGTTATTATTGTTGTTGGTTTTTTTTACTACAGTATCATTGGTGTAACTCATCGGTGTATCTCAGACTAACGACTTTGTATCTCTTCAGACTTATTCCATTATTATCTTCAGTGCAACCTAAATAAGATTGACAATCGCTAAAGACACTGAAAATAAAATAGAAGAAAATTTAATGCGTTTTCCCAGGAGACTACTGAGAATATCGTGGAAGGAAAGGGAATCAAATGAAGTAGTACATGGGACGCTCACTATTAAAATCAACCAGGAAAGGACATATGCAGTTTTAGGGACATCTAAATAGATATAAAAGTCTTGAATGTCTAGCTCTCACTGGAAAATTTGGAGGAAATGAGACAGGGGTAGGCCCAGAGCAACCTATTTAGAGGACCTAAACAAATGAGAACGGGGAAAGGTCATGGAAACGTAGCTTTTTTAAAGAGCGTCCGAGTTAAGGAATGGATGGAGAACCATAATGGCCGATGTCTGTCGTAGATCTGGCACTTGATAATGATGATGATGATGATGATGATGATGATGATGATGATGATGATGATGATGATGACGATGACGATGACGATGACGATGACGATGACGATGATGATGATTTTTTGTTTGTTTCCTTAATGGGCATGACGGACTTCACGAAGATATCTTCGAGCGAGAGCGAGGCTCTTTTTCGGCTCCATTGTCAATATGCTTAGCGGCACCTCCACTCGTCCAAATATCTCCATTCGAATTGCCATTGTTCCTGGACATTCAAACATATGTTTGATATCCTCCTTTTCATGGCCGCATCTCATTTACAAAGTTCTTATACCATCTTAAACTCCAATGATGGTCCAACCGCAATCTCGTTAGCTCAACCTGGTCCCAGCGACATGTGATAGATTTTTGTTCCCGCTTATAGGAGTACCCAGAATACACATCTTCCAGGTGCTGGTACTTAGTTCTACATGGTGGGTCTCTGATTTCTCTCTTGATTATTGGAAAGACTCCTCTGTATGTCGTTGGTCGTCTGTCTCCTTCGATCTCTCTGGCTTCATTAGCAGCTTGGTCTGCTGCCTCATTTCCTTCTATTCCAACATGGCTTGAAATCCGCTGAATTTTTATTGTGGCTCTGGCTTCACTGAACTTGCGGCACAAATCATTCATGTCCGAGCTGTTGCCCTGCAGCCCCTTGCAGAGGGACTGACTGTCAATCAAAATCAGCACATTGGTCCTACTGTGGCAATTGTCGGCAATCCATTGTGCAGCAGACATCATTGCCTGGCATTCCTCGTCATAAGATGATGTAAGGAATGCACCTTTAGTTTTAATAATTTCTGTTCGTGGTGGTTCATCATTTATAATCACTACTGCTGCTGCTCCACTTTCGCGGTATCCTGCGACTGCCGATCCATCGGTGAAAATTGTCACATCCGCACCAACCTCTTTGATCACATCCTCAGCTGCTTCACGTGCCTTTACAGGAGCATTACCTTTTCCTTTTACTCCTCTCAGTTCTGTCCGAATTTCGATTTCACCATGGGTCTCCCATGGACAAGCTCTCACCAGATTGATCGGCCATCGATTCTCTGCTTCAAGGGGGAGGTGGTCTGCTAGATCGCAACCTTTCCTTCGGTTTTTAGGCTTGACTGCTTGATCAAGGGCTTTCTTTCTTGGATGGTTGTCTGGTAATCTCTTGGCCATCTCTATAGACTTGAGGCATGTTCTTTTGGTATAGGTGGTGTAGTGCTCAGTTCTGGTCTCATAGTGCAGCGCTTCTGTTGGTGTTGTTTTCAGCTTACCTGATACAAGTCGGAGGGCTTTGTTTTGTATTCTGTCCAGGGCCTTTGCACTAGTCTCACTCAGCCAAGGCTGCCACGCTGGAGCAGCATAATCCAACTTGCTTTTCACAAACATCTGATATATTTTCTTGAGCCCAGCCCCATTTTGAGTTGATGATGATGATGATGATGATGATGATGATGATGATGATGATGATGATGAATCTAAGTAAAGTGCTGTTGCTCTGGTGTGGTTTGCTCCTTCCCTCCAATCATCCGTCGTCCTAATTTCTACTTCTTTTTTGTGTTCTTTGTTACTCTCTTGGGACACTTCTAATCTTCGGCACTTATATGACCGTATTGCTTTGTAAAGTACCATAAAACTTTTCTTTTCTCCGCCTCTTAAGCAACCTAATAGTATTGATTTGGAAAGGGGGGGGGGAGTGGTTAAACCTATACCATTTCACCATTTTCAAACTCGTGTTAAAACAAAGATATAATATGGTGACAACACACATCCCTGTATTACGCCTCTTCTGATTGGCTTTCCTGGGCTGTGTTCTCCGCGTGCTCACATGACCTCATGCAGTTCCGAGCGCCGTACAACTCGTACTTAAACAAACAAAGCGGCTGTGTTCTCCTCTCATCCCACTGTCAGGTCCGGCTGACGTACAGTCCTTGGGAAAAGCACCACTTTACATACGCGAATTTCCCGTCTGGATCGGTCCTTACGGAAATGAACGTTAAACTCAGATCCCTGCCTCTTGCTTCTTATGTAACCTACTTGTGTTGGTACATACTATATCATTTCACTACAAGATCGTTTGTGCATTGAAGTCTACGTTTTCAGCAGTAACGTTTAAATTAAATGGATTGAATTAACTGTATTGTATGGGTTGTTAAGGGCACAACTAACTGGCCATACTTCTGTTATGTCTTTCTTTCTTTCTTTTTTTTTTTCTTTTCTTTAAAAAAATACTTTTTGCCATCCAGGGAATGATTGTTGTTGTGTCCAACTGCTTTTTAAAAAATAAACAAAAACAACAACAAATTAGCAAACAAACAAACAAACAAATAAATAAATAAATAAACAAACAAACGAACGAATAAATAAATAAATAGATGGAT